CTGCGACCTCGCGCGGCTGCGCCCGGCCTCACCTAATACCGCGCAAGAGAGCGAGCGGCCCCGGGGATCCTCTTTGCTCTGCCCTGGCCGCTCCCAGTCCCATGCCACCTCCGCACGCTGCGTGGCCGCTCCAAGTCTCCAGACGCCCCAGGAGCTTCAAGGACCACGCGCGAGGAGGCGCCTTACCAAGTGGGCACGCCACCAGACACCATCCGACTGGAGAAGCCAGTGCACACAGCCTCCCACAGGCGGGGTTGCCAGTCCGCCACAAGAATCCTGCCCTTTTTCTAGAAAAACCCCCTCCCCCCACTTTCCCTCCAAAGCACTCACCTGCGTCTCGGCGCAGTTCTCGCGCTTCACGCGGCCGTACCCGGGCACGTCCAGGCCTGAGCACGCTGCCTGGCGCGACTGGCCCCGCTCGGCTCCCGCCGCCCCCAACCAGCTTGTGCCCACAGGAGGGGCGGTGCCACCTCCCGAGGCGCCCAATTCCCTCTACTCCCGCCGCAAGGGGCCGAGCTCTAGGAACTTCGCGTGCACAACCTCCGCCACCCCCACCGGCGTTCCCGCCCGAGGCCGGACTAGGGCCCCCACCGAGCGGAGGCCGGACTCCGCTCGGCGCCGCGGCGCCGCGCACAACCCTCACCTCGGCGTCCAAAACAGACCCGAGGCCAGGCGCCGCGTGCCCGCCCTCCCCACCCCCACACCCCCCGCACTTGCCTGCTACGACTCGGAGCTGCAGCTACTACGGCTCGCGCCGCCAGCCGTCAGCACGGCCACGGAGGAGTCGCTCCGGGCGGGCTCCGCGTAGAGGCGGTGGCGGCGGCGGCGTCCCCAGTCCTGCCGGAGGCGGGAAGGCGGACTGGAACCCGGCGAAACGCCCGCCTTACCCGCGTCGCGCCGGCGACCGGCCTCCTCACCCGGCCGGCAGCTGCCTCAGTGACGCCCAGGCGCCGCGGTCCCGCCGTTTGTAGCGGGGCGAGGAGGAGGGGCTTGCTTGGAAGAGCGCCAGGAGGCGGGGCCGGCGGCGAGTTAGCGGCGCCGCGACTGCTGCCGCCGGCGCGTGCCCTGCCCGGCCGCCCGCGGGTCGGTGCCTGCGAGAGGACGTCTGGCTGCGGCCGCTCGGCTTGGTCCCTCCCGTCTTCCGATTCCGAGCAAGCTCTGGGACCAGGATCCCCTGGCAGTGCGGAGAGCGTCGCGCGCCCAGAGGCGGTAAATTCCAGGTGCAAGTTTGCAAAGCCCGAGGTTCCGGGCGCTAACGGGGAGCCAGAGCGACTCGCGCGGGGGTTACTTTGATGTATATGTGTATCAAATATATACACATACGTACATACATATATATTGCAAGCAGTTAAAAGGCTCTTTTCCCCCCTACTTCACAGCCGAAGGGTCCTGTCCCTTGGCGGAAAACTAAAGGCTTAGCCCTGGCTGCCCCTCTCTGCCTCTCTCGATGGAATCTGACGTTCAAATAAGCCCGAGTACCTGTGCGGGGTGCTATACTCTGCTTCAAACGCAAAGTAGGAAATCCTGCACTCGACTATACAAGAGCCTGCCGCTCGCCGCATCCCTCCAACGCCCCCCCACGTTGGCCCCGAAATGGCCAACTCTTCACCGAGGGGGGCGTCACATCGCTGCTTAGCCTTGGGCCGCCCCCACGCCCAGCTCAATCGCCTTTCCCCAGAAAAACCTGTGCCTGTCCTCAGACTCAGCCCCGCGACTGGGAGTCAAAATCGACCCCGAGCCACGCGGTTGGAGCACGTTTTTACACCTGCTCAGCCGCTTAATTACGAGAGCACCTGTCGTGTTGTTGTGGTTGTTTTCATTGCAAAGGCTTCTGTTTTAACCCTTCCCCCTTAAAAACTGCACTTAAAATATCACCTGTCATACCTACCTGAAATCGCAGTAGGTAAGAGAAAGGAACTGAGCAGTGGGCGACTGAGTCGCCGCAAAAACGTGACCGAGGTTACAGCTTCAAGGGCATGATGCGGGTTTGATGCAGCAAGGTCCGCTAAGGGCGCCCAGCGCTCCCCGCCCCCACGCGACGGGCGGGGCGGGGTTGGGGTGGGGAGAGAATGGAGGAAGGACTCCTTTAACCCAGGGCGGGGGTGGAGGAGGCAAAATTGCCCTCTTGGGCGAAGTCAAATCAGGCGTAGTAAAGTAAGCGGTTTAACCATAATCGAAATGGAGACAATCCGCCCCTCAATTTGGGGGACCCAGACTGGGGACACCAGAAATAGCTAATTGATTCTATATCAGCATTTCTGTTGTCACCCCAAATCCGATTAGCAATTAAATGACCTTAATTGACTTTGTACGGGGTTACTGGGAAAACTGCTCAAAGCGCCTGCGCCTCTCTGAACTCCCTCTAAACAGTTAATTATAATATTCCCATCCCAGGCAGGCGGGATTGCTAAAAATGCCTGTTTCCAAACGTTAGGCAAAAATGGGCCTACCACATTTGCCAATCCAAGCCTAAAACTCCTAGAATGCCCTACGCCCTACTTCCTGGAGCTGACTTCTTCAAGTTACGGGAGACCTCTCTACAGAGTTCCCCAAGTCTTCCAATCCACTTCGACCTGCAAACGTTGTAGTTTTTCTTGGAGAACTCCATAACAGGTTAAAATGGGGTGCCTAAGCACTTGGTTAAAAGAGGAAAGAAGAACCCAGGAGTGATTGGTGTAAGACAGACAGACTCAGGGAATGATAATAATAACTGAGAGATAGTTACTTTTTTAAATCCTCCAAAAAGCGACTTTTAAACAGTCAACATTTTCTGGGTTTGCAGACTTATTTGTTCAGATTCTGACCAACCTTTCAGATGTCCCATTTAAGAAGCCATTTTACGAAGGAAGTCTTACAGGCCCAAACAGCTTTTCTACTCTACCACCCCTAAAACATGCACTTTTTTCTTGACCTTTAGGAACTTGTTTCCAATTAGGAAAATAATTATTCGGTTACTATTGTCTGCTCTGTACTCTACCCCCCCCCCACTTTAAGCTTGCATTTTATAGGTTGCAGTGTAGGCGTAAGAAATAAACCATCTCCATCTCCCTCCTATTACCAACATCCAGAGGATGGGTATTTATATATATACATATACATATATACATGTATATATATATATAAATAGAGATGTGGGGAAGGGCTAAAGGTTTAAAATCTTAACCAATAAACACTCTTAACCAACAAGAGTGTTTATGAGTGGGGGCGGGGAAAGAACCCATGCATTTCGGGGAGAAAGTAAGAGACATTCATCCCGTCCCAAGAGTGTTAAAAGTAAATACTAAATGGTTGACTATTCCTCTCATTCTGGCCACAATAAAGCCAGATCTGCAGCTGGCAATTACAAGAGAAAATACCCAGTCTCGACATCAGTTTCGCTAACCCGTACTTGAAAATGGCAAAAGGGGAACGTATCCAACCTCCAATTTGCCACAGTTGTATAGCTCTCATATTAATTCTTTAGAGACGTGAAATAGGTGGGTACGTAGCAACGTGCTGGGCATAAATTAAGCAACAATGGCCACGCGAGGTCCTATTCGCCGCGGAGCTCCCGTGCAGGGCACTGCCACCTTGCTATCCCCAGACCCCACCGCCCCGGAGATGGCAGAGTCGAGTCTGGAGGCTGGCCGCAAGTTGGCTTTTAGACCCGGGAGGGTGGGTGGGGTGGAGAGCAGGGTGAAATTAACAAACCCCCGCCGGTTTTGTACCTTTTCCCCATTCTCTCCGTGTCAAGCACCACACCGGCGCTCTCACCACACTCACCCACACCCCCTCGTGCCAATAATTTAAACTTCTCTTAGGCAAAGGCAGCATCTCGTTCACCGCCACCACCACCCTCTCGGTCCTCCCCGCCCAGCGAACATCCTCCCCCCTTTCCCACATCTACCCTGATTTCTCTTTTTCCGCAGCAGAAAGCCAGCTGGTTTCTCCCAAACCCTGAGAAATCACAAAAGTTAAAATGAAGCATGTGTCTGCCCAGCGTCTCACCCCCAACCATCTTTCTCCCGGCGTCAGTTTAACAATAGCTATTCGGGGGGGGGGGGGCGGTAAGAAAAGGGGTGAGGGCAACGTAGCGGAGTTGGCTCCTTGGGGTGGCTGTGAATCCTCACGGCTGCGAAGGGGTTCCCCCTCGCCCCGAAGGCGAAGTCAGCCGCGTAGGACCAAGGACAGGGCTTGCAATCCACTTCCCAGCGCCCAGCACAGCAAGGCTCCCAGGCAGCCGCCACTCCACAGACACAGCTCCAAGGATCTTATTTACGCTTTTCTGAACAAAGGGAATCTCATATCCGGTACAGGCTTAAGAATTCGGCCCTAAATTGGCTACCTTCTTTTAAAAAAGAATCACGGTAATTGGCGCCCATGAATTAGAGCCCGCACACCTAGCAATGATGAGTTTTGACAGCTTCTCCCACCCTAGCCCCAGCCCAGCCCTAGCCCTCAGGCGGCATGTACTTTTTCAGTCAACTACAACTAGCAGCCTGGTGCAGCATCTAAATTCCATCTGGCAATCCCATCTCCCCAGCACATGTTATCTGGTTAATGCAATTAAGTGTGGGGTTTTCGCTGGTCTAATCTCCAAGTCCAGGCTTCTGATTCTCCTCAATGGTATTAAAGCCTCTCCAATCCTTTGGTTACTGTGCGAAAGTAGAGGCATGCATCCCCCAAAACCCAAGTTATCCCTCTCTTCCCACGAAATGAACTTCCAACCTCAATCCCGTAGCTCACTCAACACCTAGACTCCCATTGTACCCCTGCTCTACTCTAGCCACATTTACCACTTAAGTTTCTGCCATTGACATTTGCGAAAATTCAGTACGACAAGCATGCGTCCACTGTCTTTTAGTCTAGCTCTCTAGAATTAAAAAGCAGAGCAGTAGCTTTGAAATGAGACAAACATGTGCAATTAACTTCATATTCTGTATTCCGCTCACTTACAGGTTTTCTGGGTTTGCCAGCGCATCGCTGCAACTAATGATTAAAGAAACCAAACCGAAACTTACCTTTCTCCCTTAAGGTTTTTGTGTATGTGTGTTTTTAAAGTAACGGTGCAGTTCTCCCAATAAGGATGAGCAAGAAGCTGCTGGATAGTTCTCTTAAGACAACACGAAACCTAAACTGTGCTCGGCTTAAAAGAAGCAAATAAAAAGAAATGTTTTCGACCCCAAAGTCCAACGCTAAAAGAAATGGCGAAAAAAAAAATATGAAAGGGGAGGGGGAACTTAAAAAAGAGAGTTTAAAAAGACGGAGAGACTACCCTCCTATTGCCGTTCAACTAAACAAAAAGGGGCAAGAAAAACAAACGAAGGAACAAAGAAAAGAGACGAAAGAACGTTTTTTCAAAAAGACGATGTCTTTCTCCTTGTTGCTTTTTAGTAGGTCGCTACAGGAGTAAGCTGCTGCATCTCTAACTGAGAACAGAAATAAGGGGGGGGAGGACGTCTTAAAAGGGAGGTGGACTGGACCACAGATTTATAGCACCGTATCACCAACCCCTTCTCTGCCTCCGCACTGCCGTGTGTGCAGCTGCTCTGCCAGGCTCCTATCCCGGGCAGCACGCGCGGAAGTATACGCCGAGTGGCGCCACAACGTAACATGCTCATCTCCCCAGGACCCGGATTGGTCTAGATGCTTCCATTGAGGCCGCCCGGGCGAGCACGCTTGATACGATTGGCTAGAAGCTTGTGTCACTCTCAAGAGCTCAATGGAGTCCCGTTTCAAGGTAAGTTGTGCGGGGAGGTACACACTTAACACAGGCGGCGAAGGGAAATGCAAGAAGCAAAAAGAGATGGAAAGAGCAACGTGGGAGGGTTGGAACTGTAGTATCAGAGTTTGCGATATGGCATGATCTTCTTTCCTTTTAAATCTTTCTGCTTCCGAAAGATTCATTTTCCTTGCCATCACTGCCGCATCTAAGGCACGTTTCTTTATAACATTAAACTCTGTCCGGTATGTATGAGTCATTGAGAGCTCCCTCTCTTTGATCTGAGTGAAAGGGATGAATGTACATCCATTACTTGCCCGCATGCCTTTTTCGATTTGTGTTCCAGTATTCTGTATTAGATATTAAGCAATTTTATGTCTTTCTCTATTTTAATATATGCATATTGCAGCTCTCTTGTTTATTTTTTAAAGCATCCTTTTAGGATAAGAATGAATTCAGACATGCTTTCAAATAAAGCTGCACGGTTTGAATTAGCTTTCATTTCATATTAGAGAAGTGTAGGATAAACATCCTGTCAGGAAAAGAGGTACTGCACAGAGCTAAGGTCCTTCACTTTGAGGTATATGGTGACTCAAAAAGAGCATCTGTATATAAAATTAGAACAAGCCACTCTGTATTTGCTGGCGGTACAGTTCTTGGACCACACATGTATTGCTGACAGTAAAGATTAGTCGAACCTTTATCTGGGTTCTTTCTCTGAGGATTTAGAAAGTTTAATCAGAAGACCAAGTGCTGTCAATGCTTCTGCTTTATAGATGAAGACTATTTTATTAAATACCATATTTTAATAACATTCAAGAGACTGAAGTATAGTTTTGTGCATGGTATTTATTTCTTCCTCCAAGTGAAAGCGGGGTCCTCAGGATCGACTTGATGTATAAATAGAGACAACATCAGCTTGACCTAGGTTCTTTTTCAGCCTGAATTTCTTCTTTTAATCTTGACAGTGCCAACTTCCTAGATAGTACTTATGTTTCTTACACAATGTAACATATCTTCTCTAGATACTCATGCCTTTCTAAAAGGAATTCCTTTACCTGTTTACTACTAGTGGCTATCTTTGAAAATTCAGAAAAAGGAGGCACAGGTTAAGAGTTAGAGATTGGAGGAGATCAGAATGGGATGGAAGGAAAGGGACAGATAGTCACAAAGCAAAGTGACTACAAAGTGAGGGGTGAAGTAATTCAGAGTTCCTTGGGAATGTCCTTGAGTGTGGATAAATGATTAATGACAAAGAACAGAAGACCTGTTTATCTCCCCGTATAGCCCATATAATATGTTTAAGTTCTATTACTTTGCATGACAATAAGAGGGGGTTGGAAAAGGAGGCCTGAATCTATATGTTAGTTTATAATTAGCATTGTTATCTTATCATTTATAATTACCATGTCCTAATCCTGAGCCACACTTTTTATATAACAACAAGACTGGGGTCCTAATTTCAACTTAAAGCTATTCTCTAGACCTGGGTGGAATTCATGGGAAGAAAGAAAAGCAGTTTGAGGAAATGGAGTGAAGGGGCTGAGGGAAGGACAAGTCAAGAGAAAAGACAGAAAGACTCCACTTCACCTAAAATAGATTAAACACTGTATGAATAAACAGTTGGAAGACTGTGTTTGTTATCATCTTCCTTCAACCCCTCCCCTCACCCCCAGGTCAGTACAGAGAAATAACTCTTAAAGTAATAAATACAACTTAAATAAAAATATAATACTGTTTATGCAGACTTATTTATGAAGTGAATTGTCTTTTCTCCTTGTTAACATGCTCGTAATATTGAATTAGTTGCATGTACTCATGTAATAGTCTCAGCACTCTGTAGAAAATCTTTACCATTAACTTACAATTATATAAGTATCTTCTAACTGGATGGAAAATAATACTTCATTTTATTTTTTGATGTGTGTTTGTTTCCACAAGAATTTGCAGATTAAGGTGGTATATTTTCCAAAAGGGGGAGGGTGGATAAAGAAAGCTGGGTGTGGTATGGAGTGATGAAACTAGCTTGTGTGTTGTGTAGTTAAAGAAATTACTTGGAAAATAGTAAACTTGTCCATTCAAATGCAAAATGCTAAATTCTGTGGATTGGGTATATATGCTTTCTTTAGTTTGGGCAGAGAAGCAAATGTTTTTCAAAATGTTGTCATCTTCAACATGTTGTTTTTTCTATATAGGTAAAATGGAGTTAAATTATTTAAGATATTGAAAATATCTTAAAATACTAGTTCCCTTCCTCAATAAAACAGATGTTTCTAAATTTAAAAACATTTAAATGGATACATATACCTTAAGTAACATGTATTTTCCCAACTTTTAAAAATAAATCTGAATACAGCCTATTTAAAATAAGTGATTTTGGATGTAGATTTCACTTTGAAATTCATGTTGTCATAGCCTGAAATACTAACATATTCTATCTTGCAATTAATAAAGACTATATGTAAACATCACACTCCACATTAAGGAACTGTAATCAACCCCTCTTCATCCATAGTTATGTTAAGAATTATCCACAGCCTTTGAACTTGCATTGGAAAAGCATTTAAAAGACATCTGAGTTATGACTGTCATCTTAGCTCTGATATATTTTCAAAGTCCTTATCATTATTTTAAACTGCAGCAGAGAATGGATAGATTTGGGGGGTCACTCACTGAAAGTTTGGAGAAAAAGTTTGATGTGGAGAAAGTTGCAAAAAGAATAGTTCTCAAAGCTGAAAAATAATGAATTCAATAGATTATTTTGCTAAAGTTTATAAAGGAACAACACTCATTCACAGGAATACTCATAAGCAGTTGTGGGCAATATCTTTTAGGATAAATAACTCCCTTACACTAGTTGAGGGGGGTATGATTTTAGCATTTTATGATAAAGGATGCTATAAACTACTATTGTGACTTTTTTTTAAAAAAAGTAAAGTAGTTAAGCGATTTAGGTGAGTTTACAATGTGTGGCTTAGGGCAATAGTTCCAAACATTATACCCTCTCAGAAGAATAAAAATATTCTGTGTTAGTTTGTTGGGCAGTTTGGGGTGGGGGTGGAGTCTGTCGTTCAAAATGTTGGAAATGTGACAGTTTAATGCCTACATGAGAAATATAGATATTATATAGCTTGATGATTACTCTTTTATTTGTTCTACCTAAAGGAGCATGTCAACTTTCCTTCTACAGTTTAGAAAACGGAAAAAAGTTGTCGAGAAAATTGACACCAAGGTTAAGTTTAGAGCGAGGCAACCGGGCAAGAGAATGAGGCAGGAATTAGCACCATGGACAGAGACGAGTCGATAAAGGTTTGCAAAGCCTGACAGTTGTTTTCTGTCCCTCCCAAGTAAGACACGGAAACTGCAATTCTTGGGAACGTTTCATTCCACAGACTTTAAGGAAAAGGCTGTCCTACTTCACAGAAACACGTTCATTTTGCATTAGGCTGGCTTTTGCTAGGACTCGGCCTTGGTGACAAACCGTCAGGAGGGTTAGAGCCCCGAACTCTGGGTGCACCCTCCACTGAACTTTCTTTTCACACACTCCCTTGCCCTGGTGAGCCTGCCTTTCATCAAAGTGTTCATGCAAAATAAATGCAAATCCAGGTAGTATCGGAAAGTCTGCTAAACCTACTCCAGAGTTCTTAATCCTCAAAATTCCCAGCGGGAATCGCAACAACAAAAAAAAACGCTTACCCAGTCCCCCTCGCTTCCCCCAACCCCAGTTCCTCCCCGGCTCCATCCACCTCTGGCAAAGGGGCAAAGTCTTTTATCCGAAGATAAGTTACCTCCTAGACTATTTTGCAAAGGACCCTTTATATTGCAAACACTTTCCATCAGGGACAGTGCCAGAAGCAGCAGTGAGCAGGATCACAAACATCCTTCACTTTCTCTTTATATTTTGTCTTTAAACTGCTGTTCAAGAGAAAAAAAACTGTAAAGAGAGTAGACTCAGGGAGAATTCCCTTAAAACCTTAGGTTACTGCTCACACTTAAAGCCATGTGAATTGTTTATTTAAGTGTTTAACATTTTTTAAATGTAATCTAGTGTCGTGGTAAATCTTTTGAGACCAGCTTAGAGTGTTCTTCCCCCTACCCCCACCTTCCCCCCTCCCCGAGCAAATTTGTATGAAGTTCATTCTCCTTTAAGTGATTTGACTGCAGATATTCAGATTCAGACTAAGATCTGTTGCACGTGCCCCAGAGTGTCTCGGAAAATATATTTGCAGCTTCGGATCGACGATCATTTATGTAAAGCTTCCCACAAATGTCCTCAGATTTCTTTTCCTCCCCTCTTTTACACAGTAGCAACTTTTAGCAGGATAAACTCATGTCTTTGCTGAGCATGCAAAGGGAGGTCTAGGCGACCAGGCAAGGGTGAGGTAAGAAAAACTGGAGGTGAGAAAAGGCAAATCAGAGCTTTGTGTCCGTTTCTTTCAGGGATGCTAACAGCTTTCTTAAGCTTCCTCCTGGAGCCGATACATCTCATGCAAAATTAATACAAGTAATTAAAAATAGCACTTTCCAAAGTTAAAGGAAACCATCTGTCTCAGCTGGTGGCAATCAGTCTTTTGGCCGGCCCCTTTACCGGGACCTGGGAAGAAACGGTTTTTCTGCTTCCGATGCTCGGAGGCTCTTTCTTATATTGAAGATTTATGTTTCCACTTGTGTGCGATGCACCTCTAATTTGAAATAATAAAGCCGGGCTGAGCGACCAGTCAATCAGAGCTATCAACTGCTCACGGTAGGCAGCCCTGCCCCCACCACCCACCGGTCTCTAACCCTCTTTCCCTCCCTTACTTCCTCCCCTCCTACCCTCCCCCTCCTTTTTCCTCCCTCCTCTGCTCTCTCACACACTCGCACTTTCCCCCCACGTGTGTTCAGATCAAACCCTTGCCCCACAGAGCAAGTGACCGCACCGGGGCACAGTGACAAAGGCGGAGTTTGTATCAGAAGAAGACTGAGGCCCGGGGAGACACGGCGGCTAGAGAAACAGCTGTCTTATCAGCCCGCTGCAGAGATGGAGATGGCTCGAGAGGTCCTCAACAGATAATCACTTGAATAGGTTTGCAATGCGCCAAACTTCACGCTTGATAAGGCCAACCCAATGTAGAGAGCAGCCCGGATCCTGCTCCATTCTGTTTTATCTGAGCTGTAAATTAAGAAATTGAAATTCAGGTGGCAGAGGCAGCAGTCTGCTGATAGACCGCTAAAGTAAACTGTCATTAAAATGCTTGCGGCAAGCAGAGAGGGGGCGCCTGGAATGGGATAGTTTTGTTTTATTTTTTAAGGGGGGGGATGGGAGCCATGAGAGAATAAGCCCACCGATTTTAAAAATTATCTGGGGAGGATAAACTGAGGAGGACTAGCAAAGGGACACAGCATCTTGATCATGATTCCTAGTTGTAGCTACCCTGCATAAACAATCTGAAAAGTATAAAGTTGTGGGAAGTTTGGTGAAATAAAGAATAAGGAACAATTTAAAGCAATCTGATGAAAAATAAAATTCTGTCTTTATCAGAACACGGGGCAAAGGAAGCTCTCTGGCTACAGTATTAGAAACTGAGTTTAAATGCAATCTAAAGTTTTCCTTTTATTGTGAGAAAAGCAGATCAACTGGATACAGAGGAGTTACCATAAACTGAGGTTAACTTGACCTTTTTGTTGATGTGATAGAGCCACCAGAGATTCTAGGGTAATTTTTAGAATATCCTAAGAAATTATGGACCACAGAAGAGAATCAGCTTACCTACTTACAGGAATAAGAGTTATATTTCACCCCCCTTCCTCTTTACCCCGATAATTACTAGGGGGTAATTCAGGGAACTAAAAAAATTCCATGTGTGTATTTTGACACCACATGGTTCTTACAGCACACTTTATATCTATACTCTTAGGTCTGCTTTTATGGATAGGAAGCGTGAAATTCTATGCATTATTTAAGTGTTTCACAAAAGTTTAAAATGTATAATGACCAGAATATAACCAGTGACCTTGGTGCCTTGATTCACTAATGACTTTGCACTGTACCTTGTTCTTTTTGTCATTGAGTGGATTGTAAATTCACTGGTGTGCATTTATGAGAGTGCATGACAGGATGCATTTCATTTTCCACAACAGCATATTATATCTTAAGTTTTAGCAACATTTCTAAAAAGATACCTTCTGTTGATAACACATAGTTAATGCAGCTTTAGAAAATCAGTTTTTATGTTAACCCAAAACTTTGATCAACACCAGGGTACACTTAATTGATACTATTAAGGCTGCTTAAATCACAGTGGGGAGTGGAAGAATTAAAAATGAATTTGTCAGGAAAAGTAGTGAGAAAAAATTTAAGGTGCAGGTATACATTTTAGTATTTACTAAACTATTCAGATACATTTAAAAACTATTATTTTAAACTTTGCACTTATCTGATTACTCATAGGGAGATGAGTCAATAAATACAAGTAAAGGAATCTCAAACACATTTCTTTTCAATTCTTTATGCAAAAATCCTTCATATCTTCTAACCCAGAAAACAGGTGAGTCTTTTTTTTTTTTAATTCAAGTGTATGGATGAATGAGTGCTGTATGTATTCTTAAACGAGAGAGAAATTTATGTTTGTGCAAGCTTTTCCCTTCCATATCATCATTTTCCATAATGTTATATTGGTTTAAATAATGGCTGCTATATAAGCATTTTAAGAAGTATTCTTTTAAATTCCAGGCTTTCTTCAAGTTATCAGACAATAAGGTATTTTTCTGCTAGTTACAAATACTCTTAAGTTTGAACTGCCAGCTTTAATGAGCCGCTTAGGCCATGTTTATTTTTGTTTTTCTTAATTAAATTGAAAATATGCATACAATGGACAGCTTAAACTATTCTTTGCCAAGACAGGTAGGACTTTTTAAAGATGAGAATTCACATAAGGGTTAAAAGATGTACTCTCACCAAGTCTGAAATGTGAGAAAAAGATATTGTATAAATGTACATTATAATGTTTCAAAACTAAAAGATAATTTTTAAAAGAGAAAATTACACTATTGAACAGAAAAATGTTTTAGCATGAATTATAAAAACCACCCCTAATTTGTCACAAATAAATGATATGTATGGCATTATGAGTGATGAAAAATAAAAATCCAAAAAGTCCAATTTTATTTTTAGGGGGATTCCCCATTATTAACTCCTTTCTGTGGGAAATGGGTAATAGATTTTTAAGGAAAACATTCTATGATGTATAAAGGCAAAAATATCAGGAGCTTTAGAACTACCTAATTTTGTAATATTTTTGTTTAAAAGTGATTATAAATCTATTACCAAGGAAAAAAATCAGACAACTGATAGTGTCCTTATAATACGTATCTTCAGGTGAAGGTAAATGACGGATAATCAGTTCCTGTTTCTAAGTATTTATTCCTGATCTATGACAAAAGACTCATTTCAGTTTGATTCAAGCATCTTTTGAGTGCCTATATTTGTACATTATCTCCTCATAAGTTTTTAATAGTATAGCTTCTCAAAAACAAGTCCTTTAAATAGATATTATAATGTTACTCTACCATGAGCTACAATTTTGCAAATTGTTAAGAGTTTGGGTTTATACTTCAGGCATATCCCGATCTGAAACTGACTCCAGCACTGTGGGGCCTTGGACAAGTTACTTAATCTCTTCTAAGCCTTGATTTCCTGATCTATAAAATGGTGATAATAATGCTTAATGTAGGATTCCTGTGAGGTTAAATGTAACCATGAGTGTAAAATATTCAAACTTCCTGGAACAGAGGAAACAGTTGATACACAGTAACTACGATGATGGAAACAAAAACGGTGACTTAGCACATTTATTTGATGAAGCAAGAATTAGAGTTCCTGCTTTTACATAGTGTCTCTTAAATATAGTCATTTGCTCTCAATTAATATCCCAATTGATATATCCTATGATAAATATCTTCTCCCATTTCTAATTGTAACCAAGTTTAAAAGGCCTCAAAAGGCATAAAATCTTCTGCCTGCCCTCTTATGTGGCTTCAGTATATTTCCCAATACAATTTCATGATTTGCCCATAAAAAGTTGTGGGTCTTCAAAAAGGAACTTAGTCTGAGATCCCATTTGATTGATATAATAATAAAAACACCTTAGATTTTCATAGTACCTTTTATCACAAAAAGCTCAATGCATTTTTACATATTTATCATTGTAACCCAGAAGGTAGGGAAGGACATAAATTATTTCTCATTTTCAGGAGCATAACAGAGGCATTAGGAATATGGGTTACATTTTTAAGATTAATAGGAATAAGGAGCAGCTTTCCTGGATGTCAGTCAGTCTTTCTACATTGTGTTACTCTCTTTGGCATTAACTATGACCATTGTTACTTAAATTAGGTTCAAAATGTTGGTGTTTGGTATTAAGTATAAGTTATAATTCAGTTAATTACTCACGGAAATCAAGTTGAATGAAATACATATCACAGTCTAATCAAATTAAAATATTTTTATTTTATGCCGAGATACTTTTATTATTCAATTATATATATGCATATATTATCCATTCTTATTTACCATTCTGTGTTAACTCTAAGGCAAGAATTTAAAAGTTACTAGTCATTTATGACCTTGGAAGAAATCAGTTTCAATCTCCTTATCACTGGCCTTTCCCTAGGCTCATTCCCTCTCTCCACATTTTTATGGGCTATTATATTTATTCCATTTACATAGGCTAACAGTATGTTCTGCTCTAGTTTTCTATTTCTTAGGTTGTCTGTGCTTGATAAATTTATCAAAATAAATATCCAAAGGAATATGGAGGTAAAGTGTTTAAAGGGCACAAGAGAATATGCTTTTCATACTAGATTTTGTTTGCTTTGAATGAAACAAAATGGGGAAATAATGTCCACTTGACATTGGAAAACATATAATATCAAAAGAATACTAAAATTTGCTTATGGTTTATACTTTCACAGTTCCCTTCTGGGCTAGCATTGCCGTGGACTGATGGAGATGCAGCTACGGATGTGGACTTCCAGTGAATAAGTAGAATGGAAGGAAACAAAACTTTGCAGCCTGATCAAAGAATGAATCTTAAACTTTTTGAGGTCTAAGTTCATAGATTACAATGAAAAAAAAAAAAGCAGGTGGTATTTTCATTTTAAACTTCAATGAGCATCTCTGTGTGTCCTAAATGCACTTTATAATTTGATAAGATTGAATCACACAAAGTCCAGTCCAGTCATAAGACTGCCAGGCTTCGATGAGGAAGTGTAATTAGCACAGAGAAGAAACACACAGAACAGCCAGAGCTGCTCTTTATGGCCATCACACCACCCCCTTTTAATCCTTCATGTTGATGTGGCTAAATGGGAAATCTATTTCTCCGACTGAGCATATGTATGTGCATTTTAAGGGAATACTGAGAATACTATTGTAATAAAAATGATGTTCTCTTCCTTTGGTCACTGTCATTCTGGTATAAGAAATTAGAGAATATGGTTGTTTGAAATGTCAGTTTTTGTCAACATGTATTGGAGGATGTAATGTAGATGAACGGTGTTACAGACTGTTTAAGCTGTTTGAGTAACAAATAGACATTTCCTTGAATTATTTTGACACAATTTACTGTGAAATTTCTTTTTCTTTCTTTTGCTGATGTTTCTAGATTCCTTGTGCAAGACAATAAAAAGAAAGGCCTTTCTTTTATGTCGGTGCTCATTATTTAACTCATACGGCACTGATGTTTTCTAGAATACTAATATTTTCCTAGATATGAAATGAATGCTAAATGAGAGGTATGTTTCCATATTAGCCACATCAAAAGGAGACATGAAGATTTGAGCCTCTTTACAAGGTGTTATAAAAGAGGAAAATATAAATATATGTTGTGGTGTTTTAGTCCTGAGTTTTAAGAGATATTTATATAAATCTACTGGTGTGTGTGTGTGTGTGTGTGTTTGGAGCAAATGATATGAGGTTCAGAGGAAAAAACTGCAAGACTTGGGTAGAGGAGACCAGGCTGACTCTAGGGGAGGAAGTGGGCTGGAGAGCAAAGATACCAGGTTGGTTAGGTCTTCCAGAGTCACATCATGGAAGGATTTGAAAGCCAGCAGAGGAAATACTGACAAAGAACTACCGCATTTGATCTTAGCCAAAAGACCGAGAAGTGATACTGACATAAAACTACTGGATACAGGATATATCTATTGATAAGTATAAATTTTGGACCTGCCAAGCGGGAAGAGACTCAAACGTATAGGAATCAGAATCAAGACAGAAGGAGAGTTAAGAAGCTAAAAAGTTAAAACAAAACAAAACAAAAACAAAAAAACCTAAAACCCCTTGGAATGAGGTGGCAAGGTCAGGGGATGAAGAGATGGGGGAAGACTGATAGGTATAGAAGAGGGGCTCACTGATAATAATGAAAATGTTTTGATGGCCAAAATATTTATAGAAGGCCCTGGGAAAGTGATAGCGTTCTTAACAAGTAATACTTTTGTGCCAAAAAGCCCAAGACAGCTATGAAGGTGAGAAATCAGGCAGCAGAGCCCTGCATCCTGATTAGCTATGCATGCCTCTAAGACACCTCTGTGCCCAAGAGGGGGCTTTAAAAACACTACTAGGGGGGCGCCTGGGTGGCTCAGTTGGATAAGCGACTGCCTTCGGCTCAGGTCATGATCCCGGAGTACCGGGATCGAGTCCCGCATCGGGCTCTCTGCTCAGCAGGGGGTCTGCTTCTCCCTCTGACCCTCCTCCCTCTCATGCTCTCTGTCTCTCATTCTCTCTCTCGCAAATAAATAAAAAAAATCTTAAAAAAAAAAAAATAAATAATAAAAACACTACTAGGAAGGATGCATTGAGCTCAGATTCCTAGGCTTGGAGAAAGGAGACATGAGTCTGAGTATTATTTCCCCCACTGACTAGCTGATTCCCTATCAGCAAGGCACTCTGACTGAATGCCACGATTCCCAGAAGATTGGATTAGTGAAAATGATGATCATGGGTAACAAGTGTTGAGTATGTACTACAGGCCAGACAGCATTCTAATGTTCTACACGCATTAAATCATTTAATCCTCACAATAACCCTATCATTTTAAAGACTAGGAGACTGAAGAAGTTGAGTAATTTGCCCAAGATCACACAACTAGAAACTGACAGAGGTGTGATTTGACCCCAAGTAGTTCATTTGTATGGCCTAAGTCCTTACCAACCACTTATCAGATGAACTCTGTGGTACTGTCCAGGTGTAAAATCTAGTAGTTCTAAAGAAGTATAGCAGAAATTTTAAAAAATATATAGCAGACATTAAAAATGACATAACACTTGCAAGAAAACAAGAGTACAGGGAAAACAGAGATTACAATTACCATAAACAGACAGAACTCTTATTTTTTTAAAATGGAAATAATCATACTCAAGTCTTGACATGCCATCTATTGCTGACAAATGGAAGAGAGATAAAAGATACTTAGATGATTTACTTCTTTAAAATGATTTGGGGGGCACCTGGGTGGCTCAGTAGTTAAGCCTCTGTCTTCGGCTCAGGTCATGATCCCAGGGTCCTGGGATTGAGCCCCGCATCTGGCTCCCTGCTCAGCGGGAGGCCTGCTTCTCCCTCTCCCCCTCCCCCTGCTTGTGTTCC